GAAAATAGGTAACAACGAATCTTTTTTTTTTTTTTTTTTTTGAGAGATTTTTGCTATAGGGCTCCTGCGCTCGCCAGAGAGAGACGCAGAGACAGAAAGCGAGAAATCACCCCCCAGGGGGGATGGTCATGCCGCAATCCCTTCTCCTCTATTCCCCTCTCGCGATCTTGGGCACACATGCACATGCGCCCGGCGTGAGTTTTAAGCCACCGGGTCCACGACGCAAACCGCGGTCGACTACGTGGGAGTCCAGCGACATAGCCATGGCGCTAACTGCTGGTTCCCAGTAACGATGAATCTTGAAGGAAGCAGACGGCTGAATCCGAAACTTGGGGCCAGGGTCTGGAATGCAGTCACCACTATTTTATAAAGGTTTACCAGGTGATTCTGGTGCAGCATGAGGATCCAGAACCGACTGTTCTGAGGTATCTGGAGAAACTCCAAACTTGAATGTCTTAGATCTATTGTGATAGCTAAAAATGGAAGAGTTTGTTCCTCGCTGTCAAAAAAGAAGGACCCTGGGAGCCATCCCAGCTATTTGGCGGCTGTTGTTATTGTTAGCAGACCGAAACCTGGAATTCTTCCCCGTGGGGATGCCTGCCATGTTGTGGCTGGACCACCCGAGAGCTGGAAGGGCATGAATAAGGGACAGTTGTTAAGTCTGATGTAGGCAAGACTTCCCAACATCTGAGAGCAAGATGGGCACTGTGTGTGACCTGGGCTCTCAGGACATTGGGAAACTCCTAGACCAGAGCCTTTTCGCCTGGGTCGTACATCAGTGTAAGTTGAGGAGTCTTATTTAAAAAAAAAAAAAAAAAAAAGCAAGGTGCAGATGCCCCAGCTTCTTCTTGGGGATTCCGACTGCATACGGTGTGTGTGTATGGTGGGGGAATGACTCCCTGTGTTCGAATGACCCCCAGTGGCACAGAAAGATGAGAACCAGGTAGGCAGGTGACTGTCAGACTGACGGCAGTTTGCTTTGTGAAATCTCAATTCCTTGGAGATCTGTCCTTGCCTAGTTTCTAAGGTTATTCTCAACTCAGCCCCACAAAGATAATGAAGATAATACTGGCCATGAACCTGTGGCCAGGACTTGAGCCAGGCCTGCCTGAGCCCAGGGACCCACGCTATGCCACTGTTCCACGTGGATGAGCTCCTGAAGAGGAAGAATACCCTGCTGGTTTCCCTCCTGCAATCAGCTGGGGCTGATCCAACCTCCCGGGTACCTGCAGGTGCTGGGCTCATGGCAGGCTGGGCTACCCCCCTTGAATGGTCAGGATGAAGAATCAGCCCCCAAACATCTAAACTGCTCCAGATCAGAGCTAAGCAGAGAATGTGATCGAAAACAGCTTCAGCTGAGAATTAAGGCGCCCATCACACAACTACTCCCCCAAAAGGCTCCAAAAGGAAGTGAGTTGTTTTTCACTAAAATGATGGATTGTCCCATATTACAACCAAACAGAAAAAGACTGGAAAGACCAATTCAAAAACAGCAAACAGAGCTCTGCTCTCCAAACCTAATGAACACACTACACACACATATGCACATGTGCACACGCACGCACACACACACACATCATTGCCACATCTTCACATAAATGCTGAGTACAGCTCAGGGTATTAGGTTCTTCCTAATTCATTGTAGATGAGGTGCTAGCTCTCAGAAGGGGTGGATCTTTCTCAAAGTCTTGACAGTCATGCATGGTAAGAAGAAGACCATTAAGTTAAGAGTGTTCTGGAATTCACACCATGATTGCAGCAGATAGACACTTTTTGACACAGCTCCCACCCACACCTCTCTTTTCTGAAATCTGCACCTCACTCACAAAGCTGGGTCCCTCAGCTAAGTTTGCTTATCTTGACCACGTACTCTGGGCTTTAGGTGACTGGACCAGGACTAGACACATGACTAAGCTGGGCTGGACAGCTGATTGTTGGCCTCAGCCTCGGACACTGGCTTAAATAGGGGTCCTGTAAACACGGGCCCTTCAGAGAGGCCACACATAACATGTGTATAGACAGTAGATGGGAAGGAAGGCAGAGGCAGGAAACAGGGGCTGCCAGTGTCAGGGTGGCTCACCAGGCTGCCTGAACTCCAGGCCCATGGAGTCTGTAAAGGGCTCCCTTAGTAGGGTCCTAAATTCCTCTTCTGCCTATTCAGCTACTTGGACATGGATTTCAGCTACTTGCTAACCAAAAAAAAAAAGAACACTAAATAAAATGACTAAAGTCTCACTATCAACTGCCAAATATTTCCTGGAGCTTTTTAAGAGCCAAACTCAATTTTTCCCCTTATTAAATATGTTTCTAACAATGTACATATGCTTTTGATGTAAATATGTCCGTGTTTTGCTGTGGTAACTGGTTTCGAAAACAGAAACAAAGCAACCACCAGAACTGGGATCAACACAAAGAAAGCTCTCTAGAAAAAGTTCCCTCATGTCCCCTTCTTGACGGTGAGCTCTTCTGCCTATTCAGCTACTTGGACATGGATTTCAGCTACTTGCTAACCAAAAAAAAAAAAGAACACTAAATAAAATGACTAAAGTCTCACTATCAACTGCCAAATATTTCCTGGAGCTTTTTAAGAGCCAAACTCAATTTTTCCCCTTATTAAATATGTTTCTAACAATGTACATATGCTTTTGATGTAAATATGTCCGTGTTTTGCTGTGGTAACTGGTTTCGAAAACAGAAACAAAGCAACCACCAGAACTGGGATCAACACAAAGAAAGCTCTCTAGAAAAAGTTCCCTCATGTCCCCTTCTTGACGGTGAGCTTCTCAGCAGGAGGGGCCTGGGAGAAGGAATTTGTCCAAGCCCGACTCTCAGGAATGGAGGCCAGTGGGCACTGCTGCTCCTGGGCTTGCCAGAGTGGGCCACACAGAGGACATTCTTCTGAGACCCCAAACTCTGGCTTGAAGCATGAACAGCATGGAGAAGGGAAAGGGATTTCAGTCAGTACCGTGCATCCATAGGAGGCCCTGAGAACTGAGTCACTCTAACAGTGGTGACAGGTCCTCCCTTCCCACACAGCACATCACAATAGAAGAGTAGAAAGTTCAGAGTACAGACCTCCGGCTGGATGGCTTTAAACACGGGGATATCCATTAATGTGATCTGGCTCTGCAACAGAGGAGAATTGGCGTTAGACCTCCTGGACGTCACTGTAGAGCTATACAGAGTCACACACACTCACAGAGTTAAACTTTCCCCTTGGGGGAAAAAACCAACAAGATAGACTAGCATAAACATTTGGGTAAATTTCTGAAATGCCTCTTCCACTCTTTCACTCTTCAAAAAACTTAATCTATATATATCCTTCTTTCTTGAATGTGAGATTAACTTTCAACTTCAGAAGTGGTAAGAGTTGTGTACCAGCAGATGGTGTAATGGTTATATTGCTGAACTCCCATGGAGTCCACCATGGTTTTGAGTCCCAGATCCAGAAGCTTCAAACTCAGGCCGGGTGCACGTGAGTGCATGCCCAATCTGGCGAGCACATGTGCCCTATAGTAAACATCTCTCTCTAGGAAAAAAAAAAAAAAGGTGATAAGAGTTGTCTGGCAGGTAGAACTGGCACTAAGGGGAATATTTACACTTTGGAAGTTTTGTACTATTTGGATTTTTGCTTCAAGCATGAACTATTTTTCTAATTTAAAAAAGTTGTAGATACATGCCAGCCCTGCAGCCTCATGGTTAAGGAAGTTGGAGCCTACATGGACAATCACAGTTTGAATTCCAGTCCCACTGGCTTGGGAAACACCCAGGCAGACATGCACGCCTGCCTAAAATCCTAACAGGATGGAGAAATGGAGAAGGGACCGTGGTGTGAGCACCCTCCACTGAGCAGTGCTCCCTCCCTCGGTCTCTCTGTCTCTCTCTGGTGACTGCAGGCACACTCTGACCATTAACAAATTAGCTGTAGATACGATATTAAAAATCAGAATGCTAACATTACCTATCAGTCTAGCTTTATTTGTAATTGTGGCTTATAAAATAATGCTTTTCTTCTAAAGTCTAAGCTTTCCCTAAATCACAGAGTGCAGTGTCATTCGAGACGCACCCACAGACCAGTGTGGGGCCACAGCCGTGCATTGCCCAGCCCACAGTGAGAGGGCACAGAGGCCGAGCGCACACACTGGGACTTCCACAGCAGCTTGACATAGCTGCGGTGTTTCTATTGCATTTTTTCCAAGTGTCAGTCCTCAACAGACTGGAAATGAAAAAAGCTGGTCCTCCACCACAGCCAGCTTGAGAGACATTGATGGCCCTGACAGAGAAAACTCCCATCAGGTTAAAGGCCATGCCCACCGCTGGAGGCTCATCTGGTGACGGGAAGTAAAAGCACTGCTACTGGGAATTTTCCAGGCCAAGGCAAGGACCAAGCTGACTTCACATGACCCACCTCCCTCCACACGCTACATGGGATGTGAGACGTCGGTAACAGATGCCTCTGTGACAGGCCTGAGGACTGACAGCTGAGGCTCAGGACGCCTGTCAATGTGGGAAGACATCCTGCCCGCGGGAAAAAGGTCATCTGGGATGACGAGATGCGGTGGAACAAACTTGGGCTCTGGATGTGCAGGGCTTGGGTGCCTGGATGCTGTTACTCAATAGCAACGTCACTTAACCTATCAGACTCAGGCACCACCTGTAGGAAGTGGTGATAACAGCACTATCTTACAGGGTCTTGGTGAAAATTTAAGACAGAAGGTGAGTATCTTACCTGATAGATGCTCAATAAATATATAACAGTGTGTGCGTGTGTGCGTGTACGTGTGTGCGTGTACGTGTGTGTGTGTGTGTGTGTGTGTGTGTGTGTGTGTGTTAGGCGAAGGGGAGCCACACACACAGATGGGCACACA